TACTGAACATTTACTGAATTCTGCTCATTGGACATTAGCTAAATTTCTGTAAATTATGTTTTCTGTTTAACAGAACTACATCAAATCTTTCTATGGTAATTTTAGTGAAATGCTGATATTCTGAACTTCTTTCAGGTCTCCTTTGTCCTGATGGAACATCATATTTCTGTTTGTTTCACGGGCTGAGATCTGAAAAGTGAAACGAAATCTAACACATGATTTTGTCATCGCCCTATTTGTTGTAGGACTAAACGCTCGTATTTCTACTCCATATTTTTACTTTAGTGCTGATATTAGTTACATTTGAAAACCTGATCGGTTCAGCTGAATTTGTTCTACGCGTATTTTTCAGAGAACGATTAAGCAAATATGCTGTAAATGAAGTTGAATATCGAAAAACCACGAATAACATCTCTGAATCTGAAATCTAAATTTTTTTGTGCATCTGGATGTCATAGATTTTAATCTATTGTGATTGAATTATAAACTCAAAATTCTCTTTTGACTTTAACGCAATAATTTTACTGTAGTGTAAACTATGATTTTTATCTGTCCAACTCAATATTATCGTAATCTTATTCAACATTCATAGTTTCACTTGTTTGAAGAATATTTCTTTGGCAAAAACTGATAATTTCTAACTTTGACTATATTAACTAAAAGCAAGATCTCTTAATTGAAATATTAGAAATCATTTTTGAATACTTTCATTCATGAATGTGTACACAAGATCCATAAGGCTATTCAACTACTCCATTCTTAGCAATCAGTTGTTGCTGCTTCATTTTATTTGCTTATTTATCATTAATCAGTTTTTAATGTGGCGTCTAATAATAATCCTTCCTTTTCCACCTTCAAAACGATCTTCATCTTATCACTTTTAATCAGCTTTTAGATCATCATGTAACTTCCCGTCAATAGTTTTGAACAATTTGTGATAGCAACCTACTTTATTTTCTAACACATTACTATATATCTCAAATAACTCTAAATATTTGCATAGATTCTGTAGATGACATCCTAGAACAAAAAAATTTTTCCGAATATTTCTAACAATTGTTAATAATAACACTATGAGTTCCGTTATTCATTTGAGTGCGTTCTGTTTCTAGAGGTTGATGAAGTACTGGCAACGCGAAGCTGAAGATGACTAATTTTTAGTACCAAATCTGTATGATTTTAAGAGACAAATGTCATCAGAGTTTTTTGGCCTTCATTTTATTTTGATAAAGGCTTTCAGTTTTATTTGATCGCGAAAGGACTGAAAAATCTACAATAAGTTGGACGTTTTGTTGATAAAGTACTTTAGCGTACAGACAAACGTTTTGAAAATTAATCTGACTGCGTCTCAAACAATCAAAATTTTGACCATTTGTATAAAATTAAGAGAAAATATACAGTATAAGATTTCAATAAATATTATAGTGTCAGTAAAACTTGAACGGAAGTGTTATAGATGAATTCTTTCTGAAGCTAAATATGCTAATAGTTGATGAATTTCTGTAATTTAAACCATTCTCTGTTGTAGTGTGATTGATATTTTTATTTTGTTTCAAAGGTGGTCTTTGTAATTTCGAATACTAAACCAATATAACTGATGATAAAATCAAGCAAGTTCATGTTAGACATGAAATGGAAGAACAACAAATCACTTCCTAAAACCAGTCACAAGATCAGTGAAGCTAATATTTTCTACGCAGGGCAGAAATATATTGTTTATTACAAACACTCAATTTCAAAACCGACTCGAATGTTTTGTGGAGACTGGACAAAAAATGTTAGGCGTTAGATTTCGACTCATTGGATTAGTACTACCGGACAACTCATGCAATTTTCAAATCTTGAGTATATTCTTGCATGGATTATCAAGACACACACTTAATGAGTTGTAAGCTTGGACTAGGGGTACTTATTTCCCATCGTTTTCCCTCATATCGTCAGTTTTTAAAGAAAGTATCTTTGTTTCTCTAAATTATCAGTTCTCTAAGAACGTTTGAATGTTTTTTCATGCAGAGTTTTTTATTGGTATGAATAATACTAATTAACATAGATAGGAAAAGTCTTCTATGGTAAGAAATAATAAACTTATACTTCTGACTGAAAATAAAAGCTGTTTGGTGATAAGTAAGGAAAACGAATATATATGCAATGAGCATTTAAATATACATTTCCATTTCATCGGTTTAATGGTTACCATTTTCTCAGTAATCTATATATCAAATGCTTCATTTGGGTTCCAACTTATACCGGGTAAAAGTTTTTATGTGTATAAATATCATCAATATTCGCACTTTAGATTATCATAATCTTGATATTGTTGAGTAAATTTCGATGAACTTTTATTAGCATATGTGCTTCCTCGAGTCCCTATCTTAATATTAATATATCAATGCAGTCTAAACAGAGCGTAAATATGCCGACCGAGATTGATCGAAATTCAGTTAACAGTACCTGCAGTGGGATAATTTTAACCTTTCCTAATATTTATGTACAGATCATACCAGCTGGATAATTTGTTGGCTATTTTGAATCGATATCTCATTGGATAACGTGTTGTATGTTCAAAATGAAAGGCTCTGGGTTTAAGTCTCAGTTCAGGCATCAACATAAGCAGGTACATCTTACTAAAGAATCCTAAATAGGACAGAAATCGCATCCTGAATTCTACTACTAGCTACATTTCATCTATTCTTGGAAGTAGGTTTTATCTTTTGATTTGGCTGTAAGAAGCTAATCAGTCGTATGGTTGCAGTTGCCATTATTATCATCATTAGTTTAAACAAATAACACATGGTATATTTTTGATTTTTAATAATGTAGTGGATTTTTTCAGTCAATATTTGAAGGTTTATAAAAAGTCAAGTGTTTAAATTATCACGCTGACTCTTGAAACTTTTAAAAAGTAATGACTAATTCAAATTATTTTCCAAAAGAATTAAATTTTTATTAGTATGCAGAATAAATCATGTAGAATACTTTGACTGATAGTCAAACTTCTAAAAAAATGATAAGGTATAAGAAAACAATAAATGATCCAACTCTAAATGGAATGTATAGAATGTTTGTTTAAATGTTAATATTTATGTAAAGTCAACATATCAAATACTGGCTTGCCATTTTTATAATCACAAACAAAAATTAACTGAGTGAGTTTCTCTAATTATAGCGGTGAATTTATAATGGTCATGTCCACAGAATTTTTTTGGTAATAAAAATATTTCATAAATTCAGCATGAATCCGTTTCTAAACTTGCTATGTAAACATTTTTTTGTTAATAACTGAGAATCATCTAAACAACTCTTCTTATTCTTATGTTGATGGTTAAGTGATTTCGTACGTTAAGTCATAAGTTTATAAGTTTACTTAATCTATAAGAAACTAGTTTGGTACAGTTTGAACGATTTCATTAAACTACTTTCTAGGTATTTAGAAGTCAAATCCAGAAAGTGAAAACTCATTTGCAACAGTGTTTTACCAATCACATAGAACCAGTCTTCTCTTAATAATTATCTTCATCAGAAAAATTACTTTTGATCAGGTGAAGTTAACTTGCAGTTCAGTGATTGGCATTTATTAATTATTCTGGATTAGTATCTGCATCGTTGTATAACTGTGGTTCATGCACTTCTGCAGTCGATTCCACTTACCACTTGACTTCATTCATTCTAGCTCATTTGTTACTTAAGATACTTCAGAATGAATTAGTCAAGTTTTAAATGAATACATTTCAAAAATTGTTTTTATTTAAGTTAATCGATGAATTCAGACAGCGTATGACATTATTTTTTACAGCATCATCTATTATTCTATATTTAGTGAAAAGTATTATGTTCAGTTATATACTCAAAGTTTAATTTCTTATGTGGTTTTTCATTTTATTCTTGCATTTATAAGAATGTTAATACTCGTAATATTTTTGAAGCGGATATGCAAATAGATACCTGTCCTTCTTATCGTTAAGTATGTAATACCTCCCAGCTGTTTTAAAAATGGGTTTTATATTGATTAATTTAAAGTATCATTATCAGTGGGAATTAATTATTTTTAAGTGTAACATCAAATCATACAGATTGAATACTGAACATGGATATGACCACAGAGTTAATTGTTATTTCAAATGTCTAGTATCCGTTTAATTGATCGAAAACATACCTTTTTACGGTTTTTATGATTTCTGTAAATTTCCAGTACTTCTTGATGATTTTATTTTCAAGCACGAGAAATAATTTAGACGCTCTTAAGATAAAAAAAATACTTTCTAGTTTGTTTCCTCCAATTATTTGCTCTTGGAATGCATAGCTTGTTATTGTAACTTGAAACTTCTTTCACTGTTGATATATTACAAGCCAAGTGACTTCTTGGGAAAATTCCTATATCCATTCAGTAGTTAGATTTCTAGATTGAGAGACTTTAAAGTTATTGAATAATGAATTGTTTCTTCATTATCTTAGTATCTTAGCACACATCTGTATTCAAAAGATGCGTTATTTCTACGAAGAGTTTTTCTTCTTGGGATACAAGTTTAGTACCTAATGTTGATGATCAGATGGTCACTTTTATCCATTATGTTGCCATCTTGAAATGCCGAAAATACTTATTGCAATGTAATCAATCATCTGAATGATTAAATCCAATTTTCGACAAATAAACTAAACCATTGTAATGATTACTACAAACAATCTAATGTGCTTTATTCAGTTATTTTAGTCAGTAAATTCTTATATTTGAAAAAGAATTATTGTAACAGTTATTTCGATTAAAATAAATTTTTTTTATCTAATCATATTTTATTACCGTTAGAGAAAAGAAATTAACTGTACTGCTTTAAATCCTTGAAGTTATGTTACATGTATGGAATTCCATAAAACTGATAGTTTTAAAATTCGGTCAAATGAATATAAATTTTTATTTTTCCTTTAAATGATCAACTTAACATCAAAATATTCATTTACATATCTGTCATGAGTAATTCTAATTCTTTTTTTTTTCCGGTTTGTAGAATTTATCAAACGATCATCATAATGTACAATATTTAGAAGATGGTACAATTGAAGTCACTGATACATTATCAAAAGAAGAATATTACAAAAGTTTACGCCGTCGTTGTGCTACAAACAATAGTCAAAATATAAAACAATCTGGATTATCTAGTCAGCTGAGTCTAGAAACTTCTCAATGTGGTACATTACGTTCTGGACTTGGTAAGCGTAAAGGTATACTGAATGATTTTAAACCGTCTGGAAAAGAAGAACTATGTTATGTTCTTATGCTAGAAGGAGTTGAAAAAACATTTACCATAGATGTAAGTCGACTCATGCAAAAATCTATATTGGATTTTCAAAATGAGTTGAACTTTTTATGTCCATATGTTGATCTTTTTTATAATCTTACAAAATTCGTATTAATGAACTTGATAAGAATTCAGATGGTCATATTAAATAAAATAAATCACTAATATTCATCCCTTAAAGTCTTGTTGAAATCTCATAGTACAGATGGATTTTTTTATAGGATTAATTGCTTTTACTTGATTTCAGTATTCAATTATTACTTGTGATTGAAATATATCTCAAATTGTGATTAATGTTATCAACACTTTCAAGTATTCAGCAATAAAATAGTACCGAATTGTGAGGTTTGGTGATATCTAAGACTTTTATACTTGCGCCTGTTACCCTTCGTGAGCATTGGTCATCGATGAAGTCTAAGAGTCTAGTGAAAATTCTAAAAATGACTGATAAAATGAGTTCAGTTCTGAAGGCTTTATGAATACTATGCATATTTTATCATATCAAACTTAGCTAACCTTGATATAGAGGTGGTAGTGACGTCTGAATTAAAATTAGTTGTTTTCAAGAATTATTATGAAGATTCGAAAATCAATGCCATTGTCGATGTACTAAAATCGTCTATTAGAATGAAAACGTTTTGTGTAGACATTCTTAATAATGTAACAACCTCTAAAGTTAACGGTTTTCTATGTATGTGTTTCACAGTAAGTGAATGTTGTTTGTTTACACATTTTTCATTGAGATGACTAAATCTACTGCATTCTGAATAGAAATTTTATTCACTGAAATTAAGTTATGAAATGAGATTTAGGCAATGAGTTTATATTTTGAAAAAATTTTCAGGACATAAGTTGTATTCCCTTATTGACAATTTCATATCAGAGTGTTTTTGATAACTTCACTGTTTCTCTTCTACTTAACTTTGTGATGACTACAAACTCTACTTTACCGCAAATTTTGACATTTTATTAACTTAAATTAGTTAATTTGATAAGTATTTAATTGTCGGCAGATCGGATTATAAGAATCATACGTTGACTTCTAGATACAGTTAGTTATATCAAACAAAATTATCTCAAACCAAATAATTTTAAACTATGTAGTAAAATTGAGGGATTTGAAAATTTCGACAGCTTTGGAAATGTAGTTCATTTGTAGATCTAAAAGTCTGGCTTTCTTGGAGTATGGCCTTACAGTGATCTTGAATAGACTTGATGGTTTATTGTAACTATAAATTCTCATATACTTTGATGTACATAATAATGATGGTGATAATAATAGTTACTTTATTCAATAATATATCTTTGGTTACAGTTAAGAGTTAGCAGAGCTAATAAACCTTATTACTGTTCATTCTATTTTAACATAAAACAATTCAAAAATGTAATCTAGAAGAGTTTTTCTGTCATTCATCTACAATCGTACAAGTTTCAACATTTATGCACCGTATTAGATATTTCATTAGTATGCTTCTCAATGTATTATTCTCTTGCCGTTTTTTCAAAGAATAAAGAGGAGGAGAAACATGTCGAATATAATAGTGTCTCCGCTCACACATTAGACTTTTTTTAGCTTTACTTTATGTTCTTCTTCCTAAATCTTACTAAGGGCAGCGAGGAAAGTCTTTACAGTTACTGTTTTCACTGCCTCGGCTGGAATTTTTTGTAGTCCTTCTGCTCTGCCTGTCTTGATTTCTCTAATGGCCATTCTGATTTCTTCAAGTGCTGGCGGGATAACATCATTCGGAAAATCTGTAGGTGCTGCTCAGATGTTCGCTCGGTTCAGTGGGTTTGGTCAATTCAGGAGTTCTGCAAAGTGCTCTACCCACCTTTTTCGCTGTTCATGAATGTCGGTGATCGCTTTGTTGTGCTTGTTCCTGACTGATCTTTCTGGTTTAGAATGTTTTCGAGAGAGCTTCTTCATTGTATCGTATAGTTGTCTCATGTTTCCATCTCTTGAAGTCTTTTCCGCCGTCATTGTTAGATCTTCCACAGATTTACGATTGTCGGCTTTGATGCTCCTCTTCACTTGCTTGTTTGCTTCTGCGTATTCAGCTTGTGCCTTGACTCTCTCAACTCGTGTTTGGCTGATGTTGATTGCTGTCTTCTTGTTCTTTCATTCTCAAATCTTATACGGTGTATCGACAGTGATTCATTCGTTGTTATGGTGCTTCTTGTGGCCCAGAACCTCATCACTTGCGAAGGTGAATTGCTTCCTTGATCCGTTTCCAGTTGTTCTCCATGGTAGGTCGTGATAGGCTTTCAACTTATTGCTAAGAGCCATCTGGAATTCGTTGAGTGTGTCAATTTCTCGAAGGAAGGCTGTACATGGCTTTATTGATGTTGCTCTCCAGTTGTCCAGTGTTTCTTTAGTTTCAGTTTCATCTTGTGCATCACTAAGTGATGATCGGGAACTATGTCACCTCCTCTTTTTGTTCCTATACCTTTCACAGTCTTTATAACATAGGTTCGGTTCTCTATAGTGTGGCTCAGTGAGATTCATGCAGCTTTGTGAATGCTCTTGTGTGGGAATATGGTGCTACGTATAACCATTTTTATGAAGGAACATAGGTTTGCGAATCTTTCGCTATCTTCGTTCTGTTCACCTGGCTCATATAGCCCCATAATGTCTTCCTATCCACTGTTGTCCATTTAAACCTTGGTTTTTAGATTTTCCATCAGAATGGTCAAATACTTTGTTGAGAATTTCTCGGCGACTGACTGCAGCCTACCAGCAAATTGATCATTTTTGTCTTCATTGTTTTCGTTGGTGGGAGCATAAGACCAAATGATATTCTTTGTAATCTCCTCTTTCTTTGTTTTGTCGGATGCTTTGATGATCCTTGGTTCATGAGATTCTCATCCTATCAGTGCTTTTTGTACTTCTTTGGATAGCATCAGAGCAACTCTATGTGTGTGAGGCATTTTACTCTTCATAACTGGACTATAACAGCATCTCTCCTAAGGCTAATCCTTTTGTCAAGCCTGTGTCCAATAAGTTCCATTTATTCCAAGTACCACTAAGTTTCATTTTTCCATTTCCTCATCAACTTGAATGTTTCTTACGGTCTACCGCATTGTGCGAAAATTCCGTGTATTACTATTAATTGTTGTCCTGGCTGTCAGAAGAAGCATCTGCTGTGTGACTTCCGAAGAAACTCGGCCTTCATCATAAGGCTTCATCACTCCTCCTAATGAAGACCTTTCAACTGACAAGGTAGAGTTTAAACAGTTTGTGTTATTTTTTCTGGTTGCTGTTTTTTTCAGAAAGCTAGTTTTCTGCCGGATGGGGTTTCCAACCCCATTCCCAACCTCTCTATTTTATCCGGACTTTGACCAACAGTAACTCTAGAAGAGCTCGAGGCTGAGTTAACCAATAATTACAGACCGGTTATTGTAAAATATATATGTGTATACATATTCATTTTTTCACAAAGTTTTATGAAATACGATTTCACATATTCTGAAACATTAAGGAAAAATTGATTTATGTGTATTCTACATTTACAATCACTACGAAACTATTTTGTTTAGGATAATATGTTGAAGTTTTATGTCGGTTAATTTAGACAGAGATCGACTTAGTATACACGTTGATAGTTCATTGAACTATCAACATTAACACTGTTTCCGTAATGAGCATTACCATTTTCATTGAAATCAATATCTAGTAAGTCATTATGTTAGTCTGAGTATTTATTTAAATTCTCCTCCTAACTTCTTGTAAAATATGAAGTTAACTATTCAGGGCCATCTTTAAAAATCTACTAGTTTAAAAATCGTTTTATGGCAGTACGCCGAAAGTTTAGTTTATCTTTATCACAGTCAGTCGACTGATTATTTTAACTGCGATTCTCTTCTACTGATGATCAATTTCCACAGTCGTATAAAACTATCTCTCTGTTACAATTACCATGTTTTTTGGATTAAAAATGATTGAACTTTTAAAAGAAAAATTCAGATATTCTGACTTGTCCGTTTCATAATGTTAGTGTTCATTACATAAGTTACAGTATTGCTATAACCACTTTAATCTGATATGCAATAATTATTCATAAGATTTCTTAATTCACTGTAATTTTAAGAAACCCTGACGTTTTTTTTAGATTCTTATTGTTACATTTTATCTGTTTATGGTAACCTAGCATCGCAACAGAAAAATTATAAATTTTATTAGAAAAAAGTATCTGTGTTAGAATTTCATACAAATGAAAGCAATAACTATTACGCATAGTATAAGACAGACGTTTGTTATTTTACCCAGATATTGATGATTATTTTTGCAGTCACTAGTATTTCAGTAGAAAGTTTTAGTTTTCTTGTCTTTAAAAAAAAAATAACACACAGTTTCAAACAGGAAATTTTTTCTGATTAACCTGATGATAATTTAAATAATGTAACTTCTGAAATAGCATTATTGCAATAAATATTCATGGTTAGATGTTTCATGATCGGTTGGTTAGTCAATGAGCATTTATGTTTGTTTGATATCCTATTAGCCATGATGAATTTCAGATTCTTCCACATTATCAATTTAGTATCAAAAATGTTTTAATACATTTTACTTTTCATCCTTATACAGTTGACAAATCGATTATCAGACAAGTTAGAAATTAATTTTCTAAACCTGGTTGATTTGGTAAATGTGGTTGTTGTAAAACCTTGTATATTCGGAAGTAAAACTGTTATTGTTGATTAGCGTAATAATTCCTCGAAACAACGTTATCCACTGTTCGACTTAAAACTGATTTTCTGAAATATTATGTAACACTAAATTTTTGTGTTACGGTTGGCCAAATTAGTCTGCGGTTCTACCAGTCACCACTAAATGATAACTTAAAATCTCGTGCATCATACAGAAACCAGATGTTTACTTTCGTTAAATTTTGATTACTAATGATTAATTTCAACTGTAATCATTAAACTGTTCGAATTCAGAATGTTCGCTCTTTATCCACGGTTATGCTTCTTTTTTTATGGAGTAGAAATCGGATAGTCATCATTGACGCATT